ATTTAAAAGTTAAGTAATCTTTTCATGTAATACTATATATATATATATATATATATATATATATATATATATATATATATATATATAGTGCTTGCACCAAAAATGTATAAATTCTTTAACAGCTAATAGCTAAATTGATATTATTTCTTTCCAGCTTAAACCAAGTAGAATTAATCATGGCAGTTAACCTAAGCTTTGAACAAAGGCGTGTCATTAAAAAATGTTGATGGAAGGGTGGAAGCGCAGTTGTAGTGTAATGACTATTTAGGAGGGATTTTCAAACAGACCCCCCAACGTGACTTGCCATCACGCGAATTAAAAATAAGTTTGAAGTCGATGCAAATGTTCGGAATATCCAAGAGAAGGCTTCCGGAAGACCACGGACATCGACAAGCCCAACATATCAAGAAAGATTATCGGGGACGTAACACCAAAGCCCCAAAATATCTGTGCAGCAATCGTGTCCTTAAGTAGGGATTCAAAATCGTCTGTCGAACGCATTTTCATTCACTATCAATGGAAAAGCTACATTCCAAGATAAGTCCATGATATTAATGACGATGATCCAGACCGAAGTGTTCTACCTTGATGACATCTTGACAAACAGGTGGATTAGACGAAGGGAGGTTTCGTCGAACATCCCTCGCGTTCACCAGACTTCACAACACTTTTACTTTTTATAGGGACACTTAAAAGTCAGTGTCTACACTACGAAACATGCAACAGGCGCTAAATTGAGAGAAGTCATTGAACGAGAATATCGTTACATTAAATTGGCAATTGAGAATTGATTTGAAAAAAACATATTTAAGTATAAATTCGAAAATCTCCGAATCCTTCCTTGGTAATGTTTTTGACACAAACTTATTCAAAAAATTCTGTTATAATATATACTAAAAAAAAACCTACAATTTATATTAAAAACAGATATCACCAATGGCTTTTTAAGTGTTTGTCATTATATAATAATTCTTGATTTAGAGGTTTCAACGGATCTATATCCTCTTTGAAACTTCATACGGATTAACAATAATAATTATATATTATATATATATATATATATATATATATATATATATATATATATATATATATACTAGCAGTAGGGCCCGGCGTTGCCCGGGATGTAACAGCAAGAGATAGATCAAGTATCGACCATCATAAAGACTGAAAAATAAAATTGAGAAAGATCATTGTTTAAGGTTGACAGACATGCATGTCTTAATTATTTTTTTTTTTTTACGAATTGGTCAAACCCAAACTCAAACAAAAACATTTTTTCAATCGTTATGAGTCTACCAATTGAATAGAATTTTATTATAAACAATTGTCTTGTAAGTGGAATTTTTACGGCATTCTGAATGTAAAAATAAAGAAAAAAGTGTGCAAGACAATAAGAAACACTACCTGCCAAAAAAAAAGTAAAGTTTTGTTGAAATCGGTTGAAAAATGTAGGAAATCCGATGCCATATATAAACGAACACACACACACACAAACAACCTGGGTTTTATAATAAGTATAACTCGATATGAGTTGCCCCCCTTTCATTCACGCGATGCCTCTTAATCGTGTTTTCAAATTGATTTTGTGCAAAAACAATTGTGTTTTTCCAATTTTTGGCGCTGTTAGAACCACCGCAAGGTAATTTTACGTAGTCCTGTAATGTTTTGTTGAAATCGGTTGAAAAATGTAGGAAATCCGATCCAATATATAAACGTACAGACACACACACAGACACACACACACACACGCAACCTGGTTTTTATAATATGTATGATATATATATATATATATATATATGTGTGTGTGTGTGTGTGTGTGTGTGTGTATAGACAAGTTTTGTCTATTTTAAGTATGTTCCTTTCATATTGTCTGATAAGCTGAATAACATTATCATTGAAAGACGAATGGAAATCACCATATTGATCCATGTTTTAATCCTATCTAAGTTTTTGTCTTACATAAGTCATTATCAAAGATGACAATTACATTTCAATATATCAAACAACACACGGACGAAACAATAATGATAGTCTGTTTTAGTTGCATGAAAAATTTCTAAGCAACGACAAACTCGTTTATACGAGATGCGGAAGCGAAAATCGCATCGCAGATCGTGACGTCACACATGACCACGCGAGAGGGGAAACGAGAATTATTAAATGTGGGAAGCCGTTAGCATGAACCAATGGCTTCTGTTATCAATTATAGGCATTTAAGAATATTTGTGGAGATTTCGTAGTTTATTTTGTTCAGGTAAGGTTTCAACAGTTTTATGTATATAGCTTCAAGAATTTTTAGTTTTTGTTTATTGTTGTAATGTTTAAGTATAGTTGTCTTTTCAAGCGTAGAAACGATCAAAACATATCCCAATATAGTGATTTCCTTTTGTCTTTGAATGGTAATGTTATTAAGGTTATCAGACAATATGAAAGAAACTTACTAAAAATAAATAGACAAAACTTGTCTATATTATTTAATGAAACATGCATCAATGAA